AGAAAGCCACGAAAACCCTTAATCCTATTTAATTTCTTTGCGTTAGATCCATTAATTTGCCGCTGCAGATCAGAGACCTTTTTTAAAATGGTACTGATGATGAATTTAGGTTAGCTTCTTGTTGTTGCTAATGAAATGAAAAAGACGTGAATAAAAGTGATCCTCGCAGTAATGTGCACTACTTAGGCAGTAGTGAAAATAAGGCCTGAAAAAATGAAAAAGAGTAGCCCAAAAATTGAATGGTCGAGGTGTGTACGGTCTCTGCACTGTAGATATTTGTTAATTAAGTAATTTAGAGAGCATGTTCGTTAAGGAAAACACCGGCAAAAACATTTTGATTACACTAACAGTATTAATCGCGGAAAACTGTCAAATCAGGAACCTTGTCATTGATTCAAAGGATTCTTCATCGAATTCATGCGCATCGTATTCGTGTTCGGCCGTCAATAGTACTTAGTGCAGTAGGAGGTCCCGTACCTAAGTGATGGGTGATAAGCTCATTCCAGCTTAGCGCTGTCGATCCTTGTTTAGGGGATACATCGTGGTTATATTAATACATTGTGGTTAGTTGTAAAAGACTTGGTACTAACAAAAATTTTCTTTTCAGGACGGTCACTGATAAGATTGTGAATCGTTTAAGAAGTCATTCATGATGTTGTTGGAACACACTTTGATTTTGGTGCGTTTGTTGCTGGAATTGACTAAGGTCTTCGTAAATGGCGATCAAGGTAATTTATTTTCGTCAATGAACCGGGCTGACAGTAGTTAGCCCCAACAGTTCAAACCAAATTTCAATATCTGGAAGAGAAGGGGACCTATATAAATATAACACAACGCGGAAAACGCGTAAGCAACTATCCTTTCTGACACCTATTAATTGCTTTTGATTGTCAACTATAATTCGTTGAGTTTTGAGCGACGGCAATTCGGCATAAGTTTTTTAATAATAGATGTATCGACCACCCATTTTGCAAAGCATCCTTCCCTGAATTGCGTGTTTTCATTACACAGGTCTTGAACTAACAGGAACTTTGAATGAACATTACAATCCAGGTTTTGATACCAGAATTTATCTTTTACGTATTTTAAAAATCTTACTCAGCTTTGTTTGGAATACTTATGGACAAGTCTCTGTTTCGTTACTGCGATAACGAGGTTGGCCGGGAAAAGGTCCATGTCGCTGAAAAGTTGTATTTAAAATTTAGAACGTTTTGTAATTACTACTTGATTATCCGTTGAAATCCGTTGAACATGTGAGAAGTTAGGAAGCAAAGGTTGAATTTATATTCTTATTTCTTCGTGATATTGTATCGCGATTTTTTTGGAAAGTTGTCTTTAAACAGTTTACTGAGTGCGCGTGAGGCAAAGAAGTAGCGGAAATAGCATTTTTTTGTTTGTTTGTTTTCTTAAACAGTTGTGTGATTCAAGGAAAATTACCTCCTGACTCGTGAATTCCACATAAAATTGGAATCGAAACACCATTATTGCATCCATCGCTCCTCGATTCGTTCAATATCAGTTTATTCGCGTGAATTTTAATGTGGAATTCCTTTGTTATTTGGAATAGTTATACATTCCTGCCAGCCTATTGTGGGGAGGCAAAGACCGGATTGAGATGCTGGTGTAGAATGCATCCATCATTTGTGGGTTGAGAATCATGTGATAATTAACGATACATTCATACATTAGGGTGCGTTCAAGGGGATATGAAGCACGAGGAAAGTTTGGAGAACACAAGAGAAGCGTAATAGTTGCTCGAGGCGCAGCCAGGAGCAACTCTAGCTTCTTGAGTGCTCAAAAAAGCTACCAAGTGCTTCATATCCCCATGAATGCACAGCCGTCGTATGAACCAATGGTTTATAATATTGTCAACGCAGTATTTTGGATATTGTTTTCTCGCAATCCGGAAACTTTTGTGAAATACAGCGCGCAATAAATCTAAACTATACTGTCTTTTAACCAAAAGAAGCACTAATGAAATAAAACGAGGTCAATAACTTATTCCTAAACTAAAAAAATTATGGTTTTTGACATAATGTATTCAGAAATCCAAATTTTTGATAAAAATCTCAGAACCAAATAACCGCCTACCGCCTACCAAAGGTAAGGCAAAAAAATAGCGTAGAAATATTTTGAGATTAAGCTTTAACCAATTATATAACAATTATACCGTTAAGAAGCGAAAAACTCGGATCTTTTCCTTGCGTACATGCGACCGGCGTTGAAGATTCGTTGTTTGCTCGACTTCACAGCCAGAAAGTTTCGAAGTGTTGTGTTTAAAATTCGAAAAGTTGTCATATTTAAAACAAATTCTTTTATTGCACAGTACTTCAAGGACATATCAATACTATTTACCGGGCAGAAGGATGGTCCGAAATTGGCGAAGTTCCACTTTTGCCAGCAAATTCAGTATCCATTTTCCATCCATAATTCGGATCGTGTAGCTGAGTCACTTTCCAAATCGAGTATCTTTCCTACATTTACTTTTCTCATAGAGCTCCTAAAAGTCTATTTTAATCCGGATGGAACAAGAAAAAACTTCTTGAAAATCTCAAAACTCGCCGTCAGACTGGTCAAGAAGTTCGCAGTCAATCGCGGAGGAAAATTTCTAATCTCGAGGCATTTGTTTGTGACGTCATTGGGGTACGCAGTTGGATTATGAAACACGCACACGCTATTGAATTTGGGTACCTGAATTTGCTTGCTATGTTATAATCATCCTTGGGCACCCACAGGTGTTTTTGGCTCTCTGGCCTTTTTTTGACAAATAGTCTCATCTTGTACTGTTCACTTATTGAGTTTTCTTTGGTCCCTCCCATGACATAGCAAACTGTACATTCGAAAGGGACCTCTGTGGATGGACTAACGAGAAGCAAAGTGATGATTTAGACTGGATCCGTTATCGAGGATCCTCACCCACAAAGTTAACAGGACCTTCTCGAGATTTTTCAGGTCAGATTATGTTCATTACTCCTATTTTGTTACTGTAATAGATAACTGTACTCGAGTGAATGTAATAGATAACTGTACTCGAGTGAATGAAATTGGTAAATGTCAAAACCTGTTGAGTTATGTAAAAGATTAGGTATTGAGCGAATGAGACGCTCATACTCGCAGAAAAAGAAGACCTCCGAGTGCTCACAATAGCTATCGAACCTTCGACCTTCCAATTAGCCCTCCAGATGCTACGGCCACTCTCTTTGAGCGTATACACTTCAAGAATATACACTTCATAATCTCTTGGTTTAACAAGGTCCATAGCCATTTTTTGGCCTAGGGTGCTAGGAAAGGAATGTCGAATCTGATGCCTTTGCACAATCTTGATTTAAAAAAGGATGGTACATGTTGAGCCAGGTGATTTAAATAAAAGGTGATGTGTTAAATGATTGACACAGGAATACTCGGAGAAAAAAGAGAGCTGTGGGCGTTCCCAATAGGACTCAAACATTGGATCTTCCGATTAGCCGCCCGGATACCCTTACACAGAGCCTCAGGATACTCTTTGTAGGCTAAGCCGTTTAACCACGTGACAAACGTTCTTCATACTGCTAGAATGTCGAATGTGATGCTTTTGTGCAATTATAATGTTTATGAAGATGGTTAACGTTACGCTACGTGATTTAAGTCCATGTTACGTGATTTAAGTCCATTAAGACATACTTCCCTCATACCCTTATAATAAGAAAGACGAATGCGATACTTTTGCTCAATGAAAAGGAAATTCCCCCCTTACAACAAATTACTACGTATAGTACAAGCAGAAGACTACTCAAGTCAGAAAAGAAGGCTCAAATAACATTAGACTGGGACAAAGCAGCTCAAAGCTTTCCAAGCGCAGAAAGGACCGAAACTTGGAAACTAGGGAGCCTCGTGAACAAGTTACAAACAAGTAGGGAGATCACTTATGACTGCCACAGCAGAGTGTGGGTAAACAGTTTTCTTGCCTTTCGAACAGTTCTCGTGGTTTTGAGAAATGAGGACCGCAAAATCAAAGTGAACGCTTTACTCGATGAAGATTCAAAGTAGTAGGCGAACACGGGCTTCAAGGAACTCCGACGAGTAACCGTGAACATTTTAAACGGCCAACCTGAAACGTTTAAAACCATGTCTGTCGAAGTTGAGATGAAAAGTTTGGATCGTAGCGTGAGAAAAACTACTAACGCCTTCACCATAGAAAAAACTCATAGGAAACTTAGAGGTAATCCATTGGATAAAGTATGGGAACAAGTGGTTACACCTTGTGAGTGAAACAAATCACACGCTAGAATCCTTGTCGAATCGATTGTAGATGATAGCCGGCCAAGAAGAGATTAGCGACAGCGGCGGTTCATTTGAAGATGGCGTCGGGCTGGACGCTGTTTTTTTTTTTAATGTTTCTATAGGGCGGTAAATCGGAGAGAAATACCTGGGGAGATGTCATCTGATAATGGACGAATTTGTTGCCGCTAGAAAAGATTTGCGAGAATCGTTTGAGAAGGTGGATCGAAGTAAAACAAGACAAAGCACCGCGAACAGAGGAGACATATGTAACTCCAATCCTCCACAAGCACCAAATTTTAGGGGTGTAAATGAATTGTTATGAACAACTACTGTAAATAAAGTCGTGCTGACATGCATACCATGGAACTTTCTAAAACATTTTATTAGGTCACGTAATTATGATGTAATACTATCAAAACAGTCGTGTTGTAAGCTTCCGGAATGTCTGAGAATACTTTGTAAATGTATGTAAGGACTCAGTCGTGTAGTACTCGTAGTTGTTGTGGAAGAGCATGCCGGAAAAAGGAGCGACTCCAATAGACAATATAATAGTTATCCTCAATTAACTTACTTAGGCTTAGTACAGTCTATATCTTAGCTCACCACCGACACAAACTCAGTTTTCTCCAGAGTACCTCAAGATGGACAGAAGTTCTCTCTAGGTATAGCTTTCAAAACAGTTGGCCACGTCCGACAACAGCAATTAACTAACTACTACGACTGAGACCTTATACACATTTATTGTTAGATCCAAGTGTAACATTTTTTTTGATTATTCGTTCTTGCCTAATTTGTTTTTCCTTTGCGTACGCAAATTAGTTTATACTTCCTTTCGTTCATTTGTTTAGTCTTCTTTTTTGGCGTTAATTTAGGTGTTTATCTCTTTCTGTTAGTTTTCGTGCCCTCGTTAGCGTTTCCGTGCTGTTTCATCTTCATTAGCGCCTTTCTATAGTTTTATTTTCCGCATTTTCTAGCGTATTTGAATATCGTAGTTTGTCAGTACAGTTTGTGAGTTCAGTTTGGTCCGCGCTTAGCGCAGTTCTGTTTAGTTTGTTTCTAGCCTCTTCGCGTTATTCGCAGTCCTCTTTACAGAAGTTTTCTCTGGCCAAAACAATGTAAGTGTATTTCGCAGTCCTCGTTTTGCAGTTTTGTTATTTCTTTACTCTAATTTACCTTAGTCGCAACTTGTAACCTTTTTGCTTTTTTTTTTTTTTCGTTTTAGTTTCAACCCACACTCTTAGTATCAAGCACGTTCGGCTCCAATAAATCTTTTTCTTTTTATTTGGTGTGTGGTGTTATTATTCAAGGCCAGGAGTCTTGCAGGTTTATGGCAGTTTCATTTATAAAGCATTCTAAAAAATTCCGGAAGCTTACGACGCAATTATTTTGGTAGTATTACATCATACCTACGTGAACTATTAGGACATTTTAGAAAGTTCCACGCCATACATATCGGTATGACTAAACATTCTCGAAATTTAATTGTAAGATACTTATCTTACAGTTTGTTGTGTTAGCTTACAAGAAATGTATAGCTTACATGAGGTAATAAATGAGGAAGAGCAAAAACACGTGTTGTCCTTGCTTCACGAGTAACTCAACATGGTGGCAGCGGTGGGATTCCTAATTGTACAATAAGACGTTTAAACTGAAAAGTAATTAAAAAAAAACGGCAATATGGGAGACCCAGCACCGAATGACGGCGAAATTCCCCCGGATCAGGCAGCTCAATTACCTGGAGCCCACGAGGAAAATCACGCACCAGCAATCGTTGCCCAACCAGCGATGGCAGTTCAAG